ATATATATATATATATATATATATATATTAGACTTCATACACCTTAAGGCTTAGCTAAAGTTAATCATAACTTCACATAAAATAGTAAATAATAGTGCAGTCTTTAAGTTATTTTACAACTTTAATCACATAACTTTGCAATTCCAGAATATTTAATTTCAATTTGTCCTCCCATATTATGTCAAAAACATTTTTCATGACTTGGGTTTGTATAATATATTGTATTTAGTTATTTATTTTAAGGAACTAATTTCGTATTGTGTACATATTTAACCGTATATGCAATTGAAAATTTATTGTTGTCAGTATGTATTTCTCGTGCAACGCACGAACGTAGAGACTAGTATATATAAAAAAGGGGCTAGGCTAGATGATGTGGCAACTTTATTTGGCCAAAAAACTCAATTATCTTTTTTGTCGAGTTATTGACTTTTATCTTATCTATCTGCTTTTTTATTTATTATAAATTATAAATCGAAAGCCACTTTTTTACTAAAAAATCAAACGTCACCTCTCAAGTGACTACAAAAGAACAGTTATGGTTAAAATTCCAAACGCAGATAACGTCCCTAATGATGAAGAAAACAATTAATCTCTCCAATTCTCTCAAAACTGTTTTTAGTCGTGTTCAAGAAAATAAAAGAGGTTGCCGTTATTGCCGTTTCTTATCAGCTTTCTACATTTAAGTTTTTAAATTTCTTGATTTTTTAATAGTTAACCCTTTGTTACTCTCATCTATTTATATCTCCAATAAATGAGTCTTTCCTTATTTTAATGCTACTTCCGTTTGAAGATAACAAATCATGTAGAGTTGATATTGTTGCCTTTATATTTCTATTTTCGTTAAATCTATCAATTATATAGTGTGATTTTATTTGTTGATGTTCTTTACAGAAAAATAGACGCTGCTTCTCTTTGTTTCTGAAGCCTGACGCTGATTGAGATGCTTTTCTTGGGGTAAGAAATGTTTTACATTCTTACCATAACTACATTGATAATCAATATCTGTAAGATTTTATTTTTGGAATAATCTCACTGTGCAGGAACCTTCAGTGATGATTTTTAAATAATAAGAGGATAACAAATAAAGAAAATGACGTCTTGAAAATAAGAATGCGGTGAGGCCAAGAAGAAAACTTCACTTAAAATTTTGATCGAACTGACATGGGTACTAATTTTTTCTCTCTATTAATATTGTGCTCTTTTTTTTTTTATCTTTCAGTTAAATTATCAAGCATTGATATCTTTTCTTCTTTTTTCTTTTATGTGTCTTATATTGAAGAAGATGGTAAAAATTGTAACTGGTAAAGATGGATTTTATACTCAAACAAACAGAGACTTCTTTCTTTAGAATGTATTTGTAGAAAATAAATTGCGTTGAGAAAATAAAATCAAGACCGAAAAATATTGCAACAATCGTAGTATTTGATTTCAAATAATTTGAGTATACAATCTTGTTGGCTAGCAGCTAAGTGACAAGCTGATAGTTAATTGTAGTTAAACTTAAGTATAATGTTAACTAGAGTTAGTTAGTTAGGGAGTTAGTGAAAGTCGGTTAAGTGTAAAGTTAGTTAGTTAGTTAAATACTGTAGTATACTGTACAAAACTTAATTTTTGGAAATAAAGTGAGCTGGTTCTCTTCTTCTTTCATTTTCCTCTCAGATTCTTCTTCACGGTAGCTTCAATCATCTTTCACATGGTTGCTAACATGGTATCAGAGCCATCGGTGTGGATCTAATCGAGCTAGTGAACCAGTTTCTTCATCTAGGTTGCTTCAATTCTACAAGTTGAGGTGCCGAATTGTCTCAGAGTAACTCTCGATCGAAGCTAGGGTTTGCAAGTCGTGTTCTGTAAAGCTAATTCTTAGTTAACAATGGCGGTTGAAGATGATCAAATCAACAATACTACTCCTACGCACACTCCCACGACCTCAGCAAATGGCAATTTTGTGACAAGCACCTCCTTCCCTACCATTGATCATAATCATCCTTTGTATCTACAGCCAACCGACACACCAAGTAGTTCTCTGATTTCTCTTCAACTTACTGGATCTGATAACTACACTTTGTGGAGTCGCGCAATGAGAATTGGCTTGTTATGTAAGAGTAAATTAGGATTTGTCGATGGTAGGTTTCCTACATTTAGGTTTGAGCCTGAACTTTATGATCTGTCGGAGAAGGTGAATGCTATTGTTTTGTCATGGATAACGAATGTTGTGAGGCCGGTTTTGCTAACTAGTGTCCTATATGTATCTAGTGCTCATAAAGTTTGGGAAGATCTAAAAGAGAGATTTGATAAAGTAAACGGTTCCAGAATTCTGTACCTACACAGGGAGGTTCACACTTTGACTCAAGGAGTTATGACTGTAACTGATTATTTCTCCAAACTAAGAGAGGTTTGGGATGAGTTTGAGTTTGATGCCCTTATGCCATGTCCTGGGTGTCCCTGTCCCAAGTCAAAGAAGTTTGCCTAACATTTTGTATGAAAGACTTCTTCAGTTTCTCACTGGATTAAATGAGTCCTATTCTCGTTAAGGAGCCAAATTATGATGATGTCCCCTTTTCCTAGTATAAATAAGGCATACTCTATGTTAGTTGATCATGAAAGCCAAAGAAACCTTGCTAATATGCCACAAGTAGCTCAAGTGTCTGAAGCCTTGGAGAATATAGCTATGTATAGCAGCAAGAACACAAATAATACTGGAAACTACAAACCAAAGAGGAGTCTAGTTCAGTGTGAGTATTGCCACTACAAGGGACATACCAAGGAAAACTGTTATAAGCTAGTTGGATACCCTCAGGATTTCAAATCCAAGAAGAAAGGAATCAATACTGGACAATATACAAATCAAGTGTGTGGTGCAGAGGTGAACTGTACAGACAGACATATTATGGGAAGTAATGTAGCTTTTAATGTGACTCAACAAGGCAGAGGAGGAAGTCTTTTTAATGCAGGTGTTCCACAACCAGCTAATCAACCTGCTTTATTCCAGCAATTGCCACATCCTGCTCTTGTCTTCACTCCTGAACAATATCAGCAGATTGTTCATCTGTTGTCCAAAGGAAGCACAAAAGGATCAGACTCATCAAGCAAATCAGCTGCTGCAGGTATTCTGAGCAAAGTGAATGTATTTATGTCTCATTGTGTTGACAAGTGAATTGTTGACACTGGGGCATCGAATCATATGACTTCAAGTCTAAACATACTGCACAATCATAGGGCACTTCCAAACACATAAGAAAACAAAGTACACTTACCTACTGGAAGTGTGGCATTAGTATCACACACAGGAAATACTTTTGTATTAAGCAATCAGGAAATCTCTAATGTTCTGTACATTCCTGATTTTAAGTTCAACCTACTCTCAGTTTCAAAACTTACTAAAGAACTAAAATGTATGGTTGGCTTCTTCCCTGACTTCTGTATTTTTCAGGACCTCTTCAGTGGTCAGGTGAAGGGGATTGGTAGAGAGGATTACGGATTGTACATACTGCGTGGGAGTACTTCTATATCAGCCTCATCTCAGTCAACAAATAAGTGTGTTAACACAGCAAATGATGTTTCTACTTCTTCAGCAAATTATGTTTCTACTTCTTCTTCTGTTTTCGGTACTTCTTCTAGTGTGTCTATTTCTAGCATTTGCAGTTTATGGCATAAGAGAATAGGACATGCTCCTATAGACATAATAAAGAAGATAGAGGCACTGAGTAAGCTGACAACAGGTAACTTCAATCAGCCCTACACTGTATGTCCTGTTGCTAAACAAACCAAGATGCCTTTTCAGTTGAGTAATACTACAACAAAGTTTGCTTTTGAACTAGTTCACTGTGATATTTGGGGACCATATAGAGTATCTACACATGATGGTAAAAGATACTTTGTCACCATAGTTGATGATTATAGATGATTTACTTAGATTTTCATCTTGAATTGTAAGTCAGAAGCAATTGTAGTTCTAAGAGATTTTCTTACTCAAGCAAACAATGTGTTTTCTACTGCTATTAAAGTTCTAAGGACTGACAATGGAAGTGATTTTTTTAGTACTGAGTTCAAGCAGTTACTGTCCAGTCTTGGTATTATTCATCAGAGTACATGTGTTTACACAAGCAGAATGGGGTGGCAGAAAGAAAACATAGAACTATTTTGGAAATGGCTAGATCTATCATATTTCAAGCAGTTGTGCCTTTAAGATTTTGGGGAGAATGTGTTACTACAGCAGTATATTTACTCAATAGATTACCTTTTAAGGTAATTGGGTACAAATCACCTTTTGAGAAGATGTATTTGGATCCACCCTCTTTATCTCATCTCAAAGTATTTGGTTGTTTATGTTGTTCTACAACTCCTAAAGTTTTGGACAAGTTTTCACCTAGAGCAGTGCCTGCTGTGCTCTTAGGTTACTCCTCTACTCAAAAGGGGTATATATTGTATAACCTGCATTCCAAAAACTTTATGGTCAATTGAAATGTTGTGTTCCATGAAACTTTGTTTCCTTTCAAGCATGTTAGAGATTCAGGAACTCTGATTTTCCCTGTTCTGGATCTGTTATCTCCTGAATTGGATGATACAACTCTCATCTCCTCTTCAGCACCTACAGTAGAAGACTCAACTGAGCCTGCTGCAGACCAGATGTCATCAGAGTCCTGTGCAGAAATTCCTTCCTTCCCTACAGACAGAACTACTTCTGAATCTATCCCTCCTATTGTGATTAATTATTAGGATGATGTTTGTGTTGAAACATCTGCAAGTCAATCACATCCTGCTGAGCCTCTTGAAGGATGCAGGAGATCCTCCATACCAAGCAAGCCACCTGTATGGCTGTAGGATTATGTCACCCTCTCCAAAGGCTCAAAATGTACTTATCCCATCTCCTCCTGTGTAGACTATTCTCACATCTCTCCAACCTTCAAACAAGCTCTCACACCCTACTCAGCTCTCTCAGAACAACCTACTTTTAAAGAAGCTGCTTCTGACCCTAAATGGGTGAAAGCTATGCAGTTGGAGATTGATTTGATGCACTGGAGGACAATCATACCCGGAGCATTGTAGATATTCCACCTGGAAAGACACCTATTTTTTGTAGGTGGGTGTACAAAATTAAGTATAAAGCATCTGGAGAGATAGAAAGGTTCAAAGATCGATTGGTTGCTAAGGGGTACAGTCAAAAGGAAGGTTTGGATTACGGTGAAAGCTTTTCTCCTGTGGCTAAGATGGTTACTATAAGATCTATTAATGCATTGGCTGCTTCTAAACAGTGACTGATCTTTCAGATGGATGTTGTAAGGCCCCGGAAAATTTCGCTAAGTAATCTAGGATTTCGTGGTGCCACGTAGGCTAATTATAATAATTTATGTGCTATTAACATGGTTGGTATCAATTGGATTTGTTAAACAAGTGTATGAGTCATATATTAAGTAAGGTGGGGTCCAAGGATAGGCCTAAGTGTAAGCCAAATGGAAAAAAATTTCATAATAGGCTAAGATTCCAAAGGTACTTGCATTAGTCCACACTTTGAACGCGCATATATAAATATGTATAAGGTTTTATGTGACGAATACCTATCAAATAAAAGGTCACTGAGTCTAGTTTCCAACGCTTCAAACCGTTTGTCATTCGGACACTCCTACCAGAAGTTATGACCAAATTACCAAAAGCAGCGCAAAATTTTACACTACCGCGACGCCCCGTGCGGCGCGCCTGTGGGGAGATACAGAGAGCATTCAAAGACGTTTGCTGAGCACATTTTTCACAACCGCGGCGCCCCATGCGGCGCCCCACGCGGCGCGGCTGTGCACAAATCGGGCTTTTGTTATAAAACGACCTCATTTCGCCAAATAAATGCAACGGATCATTTCTTAACTAAAATCAGATATTTTTAGAGTGAGAGAGTGCCTAGAGTGGGAAAGTGTCCCTCATCAATTTTTCTTCAATTCTTGCTCAAATCTTGAAAGATTAACAAGGAAAAACACACTAGGTCTTCATCCTTGAGGTAAGATTCTTCACCCTATCCCTTAATTTCGAATTTTAGCTAAAGATGGGTATTTATCAAGAAAGTTTGTGGGTATTGGAGTTGTTATCTTGCTTGCATGTGTTGTCAAAAGGTGTAGGAACATTGTTGAGCTAAAAATGGTAAAGTATGGGTTGTGGGTTGATGAAATCCTCTATAAAAGGACCATAAAGATTTAACGCACATATAGTGTTTGATAAAATGCTCAAATGAGCTAGAATAATGATCATCTTCCTAATTTTGGTTCAGGTTGTTATATTTCCAAAATAGATTGAAGTTGCTAAGAGTCCCGAAATTTCGTAAGAATTTAAGGAAAGCTCTATCGAGGTATGTATGGCTAACTTTAACTCTTGTAGAATCCCCTTGTTGTGACGAGCATACGGTACGTGTACCTTGTATGAAAATATGTGTATTGATTGTCTTAGTTGATTTTCACACCACCAAGTTATATGTTATTGTGAGAAGTGATTTGATGTGCCTACCTTATTATGTGCAAAGTTTGTAAATGTTTGAGGATGCCGACATGGGAGTATGTGTTAACGAATGAAAGAATGCTAATGTGTCCAAATGTGGGAATGTGTATAATGGCTAAAAACCATGCGTGGTAAGTAATGAAAGAGGGTATTGTGAAATGACGTAAATAAGTTGAACGATTACGACAACACCTTGTACATGAATTACTTCTTGGTGACAGTTATGGTGCCATGGGCCCAAATGTATGAATTGTTGATATGAACTTGTGTTTCCTTCAAATGATGGTTCTTGTGATGTATTGTTTGTTGTTGTTGTTGTGTGAAATGTGATTGTTCGGTGGGATCGGGTTGCGCGCCGCAACGAAGTAATAAGGTGTGGGTTGTGGTGATAAGGGTGGCCGAGGTAATAAGGGTGGCCGAGGTAATAAGGGTGGAAAAGTGACCATAGTCACTATTGAAATGAAAATATATGAAACTCTTGAATGTGGAAGTGTTGGAAAGGGAAAAAGGAGAGATTGTGAAACTTTTGATTTTTGGTTGTTTCTTCCTACGTGCAATGCTTGTTGGTTCTATTACTGTCTCTTAGATGTGTATTGTTTGATATTCTGGATGGCCTGAAGCTATGTGATTGAACTCTGAACTATTGTTGTTGTGTGAAGTGTGATTGTCCGGTGGGATCGGGTTGCGCGCCGCAACACAAAATGATAAATTGTGGGTTGGGGTGATAAGGGTGGCCGAGGTAATAAGGGTGGCCGAGGTAATAAGGATGGAACGTGATCATCATCACCATCGAAATGAAAGTATGTGATGTCATTGATATGGTTAAATGATGTTGAAAGGGGAAAAGGAGAGATTGTGAAACTTGTTTGGCCTTGGTTGTTCCTTTCATGTGCATTGATTGTTGATTTTATTACTGTTCGTTATCCGTGTATTGATTGATTTTACTTGGGATAAAGTTTGTTCATACATACCAGTACAATTCAAATGTACTGACGTCCCTTTTGCCGGGGGCGCTACATTCTTGTTATGATTGTAGGTGGTTCTATAGCAGGTACTCCAGTCCACCGACAGTAGCACCTCCTCCACTTTCCGTCAGCTGTATTGGTGAGCACCTGTCCTCTCGGGGCCCCTGCGTGGCTCATGCCGCTTTTCTTCCCGGAGTCTTATTTTTGTATTTGTGTAAGGTATAGCAGGAGCCTTGTTGCCGGCATTTCCATATTATTCTTCAGTTGTATTTAGAGGCTCCGTAGACAGGTTGTGGGTAGTGTCGGGTATTGGAATTTAAAATAGAAATATTGATGTTTGGCAATGATGTATAAAACTTGTAATACCTTTAAAATGGTGAATAAAGTTGCTAATGAAAATGAAATGGGAATCGTTAATGATATGTTTATAGAATTTGATTAATGGAGTCCATCTCCTATTTATTCATGAATTAGTTTGGGTAGAATGAGACCTAACAGGCTTGCTCGGTCGGGTTTACTCGGTTAAGCGCCGGTCGCGCTCCTCGGATTTTGGGGCGTGACAGATGTTCATAATGCTTTCCTTAATGGAGATCTTATTGAAGAGGTTTATATGAATATACCTGTGGGGTTTGCTAGACAGGGGGAGACTCACAAGAAGGTCTGCAAACTCCATAAATCTCTCTATGGACTTAAACAGGCCCCAAGGCCATGGAATATGAAGTTGACTGAAGCTTTACTTCATATGGGATTTCAGCAAAGCCATTATGATTATTCCCTGTTCACAAAGAAAGCTAGGAGTGACATAGTGATCATACTGGTGTATGTAGATGATCTTTTAATCAGTGGGAACAACCAACAGTTGTTGTGTGATACTAGGACAGATCTCAAGAAAAGGTTCAAGATGAAGGATTTAGGAGAGCTGAAATTTTTCCCATGCATTGAGTTTGCAAGGTCTAAACAAGGAATTCTCATGTGTCAAATGAAGTATGCTCTAGAGTTAATATCCGAGTCAGGTCTAAGTGGTGCAAAGCCTGCAGAATCATCAAGTAAGTTGACTGCTTACTGTGACTCAGACTGGAGGGCATGCATACAGACAAGGAGGTCAGTTACAGGGTATTTAGTTAAGATTGGCAGTGCACTAATATCCTGGAAGTCTAAGAAGCAAAGTACTGTCTCTAAGAATTTCAACAGAAGCAGAATTTAGAAGTATGGCATCGTGTGCAGCAGAAGTTACATGGTTAACGGGTCTGTTCAGTGAACTAGGTGTCAAGATTGAGCTGCACATAACTCTAATATGTGATGGCAAAGCAGCAATCCAAATAGCTGCCAATCCAATATTTCATGAGAGAACAAAACATATTGACATAGACTGTCACTTTGTGAGAGAAAAACTAAGTCAATGACTGCTTAAAACTGAGTATGTGAATACAGAAGATCAACTAGCAGACTTACTCACAAAGGGTTTGGGAAAAGCTCAACATGAATACTTGTTGAACAAAATTGGATTGAAGAACTTATTTGAATCACCACCTTGAGGGGGAGTGTTGGCTAGTAGCTAAGTAACAAGCTGATAGTTAACTGTAGTTAAACTTAAGTGTAATGTTAACTATAGTTAGTTAGTTAGGGAGTTAGTGAAAGTCGGTTAAGTGTAAAGTTAGTTAGTTAGTTAAATACTGTAGTATACTGCACAAAACTTAATTTTTGGAAATGAAGTGAGCTGGTTCTGTTCTTCTCTCATTTTCCTCTCAGATTCTTCTTCACAATAGCTTCAATCATCTTTCCCATGGCTGCCAACAAATCTCTATGAATCCTCTGATATTTCTTTCCAATAGTAAATAAATTCAAGGGCCTTCAAGCTTGATCTTGAATCTATATTTGTTGCCACGAACGATGATCTTGAATTCAACTAGCACGAATTTTGATTTGAACTCGTACTCCTTAAACCTTGATTTGTTCTTCGTTCTTGAGCTTGAACTTGATTTGTTCTTCGTTCTTGAGCTTGAACTTGATTTCTTGAACTTAAACTTGAACTTGATTTCTTGAAGTTGAACTTGAAGCTTGAAACTTGAAACTTGTGGAGAAATTTGTAGCGTTTGATCCACGAGCTCTTTCTTGCTTCTTGTTATAACTTCTGGTGTCTTTTCTGGGTTATGAAGACCCCTATTTATTGTTGTGGGAGGGAAGAATTGTGATGAGAACAAACTCTTTCCGACCAATCAGATTGAAGAGTGACAAGGCCGCATTTGATTGGCCAGAACATGTCACTTGCATGTGTGGCGCTATTTCATTGGCCTTTTAATTTGACTTAGCATGTCTTGTCATTTTGATACATGGCATGATCCTATTGGCTCTTCCGTTTGACTTGTCATGCCATATCATTTGACACGTAGCACCAAACCGGGCCTCTAGGAAGATGACATACTGGGCCTAGTGAAGTGGGCTCATCATTTGTAGCCCAATTAAATGGGCTAGCCCAGTCAATATTATTGGACTTAAATAATTAATTCAATTATATTAGCCCATAATATTTATTTAAACTAATATATTTGAAATAGTCCAAATTATTTTATTGAACTTAAATTCAATAAATTTGCATGCCTACAATATTCTTTTGATTTATGAAAAAAGAAAATTGATTTCTTGGCCAACAAAACAAGTTCACAGTAATATAAGCAGACATTTTCTTCCTATATCACTTGGAGGGAAGAAACTATTTTTTTGAGAATATCAACAAAAAGCATTAATCCAATTCCAAAAGTTAATATCTTAAGATTAAGAGATGTAATTGGGATCAAAACTTGCTTAAAATAAATTTTTATCAAATACCATATAGATACATGAATTGAAACAATCTTTTGTTGAGAAGAAGAAAGGATAATACCCAAGCAGAAGATAGAAAAGAAACCATTGTATCTATTCACTTCAATTCTTTATATTACTTCCAAATTGGACAAAGCAACGTAAGAATGTCTCTTTTAGTTCTTTCGCACTTACACCAAATAACTAACAAAGTAAACTAGGAGTACTTTATACGAATGAAATAAATAAATGAAGTATTCTCCTTTATCTTTATCCTTTCCTTTGTTAAATCATACATAATACGTAAGAACGAGAACGTTATAAATTAGCTCTTCCCAACCTATTTATTGGTTTGTTAACCATTTGAATATTAGTTAAAGATCACCACATAAATCTTTCATAATCACGGGGAGCGCAAGAAATTCACTAGTTTAAACTATAAAAGACCTCCTTAATTTTGTATAATACGATTAAGTTCATGGTAGGACTTTTCTAATTTAAATCTGAAATTTTATTTTTAAAAGTGACAAAATCAATCTTCGACCAAACTAATCCTCGGACAGGGATCTGGCTCCAGGTTCCAAAATGAGACAATGATGAATAATCCAAACAATGCAATATTCTAAATTCTAGCTCAACTTCCACCATATCAGAGAAAAAGGATAGGGAAGAGAAGGGGTGAACATCAATCCCAGCATCCAGCTGAAAAATCGAATACATTATTAAGAGAAAAGGTACACTGGCTACTAGAAGGACAAATCAGTAGTAAAATTGGCGACAAAATAGTGGTAAACTGCAAGAAAGATTGTCTTAGCACACCTCAAATACAACTTTCATCCAGAAGAATAAGTCAACACAGAAAGTAAACAAGCGCGCAATCAAATTTATTTGGTATCCTTAACTACCAAAATTTGGTTAAGTGCATCTCCTTTATATATTAGCTTGAAAGTAATATTCTTTCTCAGAACTGTAATCAACACCTCTCAAAAATTGTCTTTGCTTGTGGTTTTCCAATTAATCGCCACTCAAGCTTGAATTCTAGCAGACACACCTACTGCACTTTCCATTCGAGAGTACCAATCACCGATACGTGTGTTCTCCACCATGTCTCTACCAGATTTCAGGTAGCGGATGGGTCTCAAAACGCCATATACAGCAAGATCAGCCAAGTTTGGTTTAGAGCCACCTGTTAGACCGAAAATGAGTCAAGGCTCACACATTATGACAAGGATTTGGTGCAAAAATTATCAATCAAATAGATTATGACGTAGAAGTTAAAACAGACCAAGAAAATCTCGGCCCTTCAGAGCATCAACCCATGTTTCTGCAGCTTCATACAGGGCTGCACGCTCATCGGTAATATTATACTTCTTCTTCAATCTCTTTGAAACAAAATACATGGATGCAGCACCACCATACTTGACGGTAAATCTTTCCGTAAAGCCGAAATTACCTGTCCATAGCATAAATAAGATTAGACTTGTGCAACAGGTAAACCACGGAAAAAATTGCTCCAAAAGACACCCACGGCTTCAACTCACATAAAGGTATACAACATAGAATAAGACCTGCAACCGGACTATGCTAAACAGAGATCAAAAGGCAGCCTACAAAAACTCCACCATTTATTATTAGCTAGTGTGTACAAGCTGAAATATTATTTATGAGGAGTTGAAAATTGAACCTCCCTTGGGGTATCAAGCAAAGAACTGTTAAACTCTCAGTATAAGCACCGCTAATAAATTTCACTCTTTCTCATCTCCATTACGATTCAGGTTCTGATACAATATCAAGCCTAGCTTAAATACATAAGAATCAATAAAACACAGCGAGCAAGGGAGAAAACTATGAGCAAGACAAATTCAACTACAGAGAACAGCCACGACTAGTAACACACCGAGCACTGAGCAGTATACATTTGCTTCATCACATATTTTTACTTTCAAATACAAACTGGGGAGTGTTTTGCTTTGGTCATATTTATCGAGGACGTGACTTCGTATACATATCTTGAAACAGCAGCATTCTATTTCACAGATTTCCATCTTTAATTCTTCAGACCAAGTTTGCAGTGCATGAAGTAATACAACATATGTAATCACTGTTCCAGTTGTAACAGAAGAACAGATGCTCTAAGGCGAGCCACGGGACAACATCAAGACTAGCTAATAAGCAGCAAAGTATTACCGACATCAACTCTAATTCTTTATCCCAAACTTAACTAACTGAAATCTTTTAAGACGGGTAAAACACCAAAAGAGTAACAAGATTTTTTCAACACTAATTAAACACTCACATGCATCATAGTTTTACTGCCAAATGTATAGAATTAAGTAAAACACGACATCTTGATTTAAAGCTACTAGTATGAAAGAAAGAAAAGCACCAAAAAGTAAAAATTTCTTCCCGAAACATCTTGACATTTGGTCACCGCAATCAAATCTTACCATGACTAGTGATGTACTCGAATGATTCAAGAGCTTCTGAGGTAGTTCGATATATGTTGGGTGCTAAGACGTGCACCAAGTGATTATCCACCCACCTACATTTGCAAGAATAACGATTAGTGGATAAGACCCTCTTACGTAACAAAAAGCAAAAGCTTAATCGGGAAACAACGGCTAATTTCCTATGTCACTTACAGACTCGATAACCTTATTACCAAATATCACTTATATCTACGACACAGTCATAAAACTATCATAAATAGAAAGAGAAGTGCATACTTGCGCCATTTGCTTTCTTCATCAGCATCCGAGGTAGAATCAACAGAGCGAACCTTCTCGAATAATTTATCAATAATTTCTATAATCCACCAAAAGGGCAAAAGAAAAATGTTTAGACATAACCATAAAAAAACAACAACAACAACGAACCCAGTGTAATCCCATAAATGGGGTCTGGGGAGGGTAGTGTGTACGCAGACCTTACCCCTTCCTTATAAAGATAGGGAGGCACCCTCGACTCGAGGCACAGTGGAGATAAGGCAACAAGTAGCAAACAATCGTAACAACAATACATTAACGTAACGTGCACGAATGACACAATATGTAATAATAAAGAATCATGAATAAGATAACACAAAAATAGTCCTAGTACTACTGGTAAGCCTAGGAGGAACACACTAATAATTGTCAACCTTCAATCCTAATCCTCGACCTCCAAGTCTTTCTATCGTGGGTCCTATCTTCGGTAAGCTGGAGCAATGACATGTCCTGCCTAACTACCTCTCCCCAATACTTCTTAGGCCTGCCCCTACCCTTCCTCAAACCCGCAATGGACAACCTCTCACACCTCCTAACTGGAACATCTATGTCTCTCCTCTTCACATGCCTGGACCATCTCAGCCTCGACTCCCGCAACTTGTCTTCCACAGATGCCACTCCTACCTTGTCCCTAATAACTTCATTCCCGATCCTGTCCTTTCTGGTATGATCACACATCCATCTCAGCATCCTCATCTCAGCTACTTCCATCTTCTAGACATGGGACTTCTTGACGGGCCAACACTCAGCCCCATACAACATAACCGGTCTAACCACCACTCTGTAGAACTTGCCCTTAAGTCTAGGTGGCACACTCTTATACCCCCGAGGTGTCCTGGAATCCATTTCTTTCCATCTTCAATGCAAAATTGCCATCCATAGATATAGTTATCTTATAGTCACTCTGAATGCTTCCTTCACAGTTGAGCTTAGACGTTGGATAGGTTGAGATGCATTTTATAATCAGCAGTGTATAGAAACTAAAAAGGGCAGTCCGGTGCACAAAGCATCTCACGTTTACGCAGGGTCCAGGAAAGGGCCGCATCCAAAGTGTGTGACATAGATAGTCTACCCTAATGCAAGCATTAGTGGCTGCTTCCATGCCTCGAACCTGTGATCTATAGGTCACACGGAGACAACTTTATCGTTTGCTCCAAGGCTCCCTTCCGGTGTTTAGAAACTAAACAATAACATAATTATCATAAATAATTTACAGCCATCACACAGTGACAATGTACTCAAAACTGTATTTACTTAAAAAAAGTGAAGCAATTCTAGGACATCAGATACCTGATGAGTCCAGCAGAGTTTCACCATCAACTATCACGATAGGGACTTTCTGGTAATCAGACCACTTGATTTCTTTTTTGCTGATGGGGTTGACCTCAATGATCTTGTATGGGATGTCATAGTAGTCAAGGAATGCTGAAAAGGAAAAGTTCCAGGGTGAAGGACTATGGTGCGTACCAGATAATGATAATTAATGGGGGAGGAAGAAAAGAAAGGATCGCAGAGATGGAATCATAAACATTAACCAGCATGCATTACGACTATTCAGAGATATACATTGTCAAAACGAATAAATAAACCTTAAGAAAACATTTGATACAATGCCGCACACAGAAGCCTCTTAAGTGGAGAAGGGTAGATTGGCAAGCTCATTACCCATAATCCACCGTGTTTCGAACCATGCGCCATTGACCTTGGGGATTTCTTTGTTATCAAGAGTTGTTAGCAATTGTACAAAAGTACAAGAATACATCAAATAGTTTAATGAGGTGAGGCATGCTTTGGCAACAGTACCATGTTAGTGAAAACAAAAGATACTTGATACTCCTTGCATTCCAGTTTATATGACAATATTTTCTTATTAGTCCATTCCAAAAAATTGACATATTTCTATATTCTGCATTCCAGTTTATATGACAATATTTTCTTATTAATCCATTCCAAAAAAATTGATATATTTAACTTTAAACTTTTCAACTTGCCCTTAATGAGAAGATTTTATAATCACACAAATGTTACGGAATCTTTAAGACGACAAATTTCAAAAGTCTTCCTTTCTTTGTTAAACTACGTGCCAAGTTAAATTGAACCGGAGAGAGTTTATTGTTTATGAAGACTTCAAGAATCTAGTATCCTATAGAATAATTATCTAATCCTCAATGAACTATCTCCAAGCTATACTCTCATTAACAGATCACAGATGAATATAATAGGCTACCTAAACTAGACTTGATTTTCTTACAAAAATGGCTTTTTCTTTTTTACTGAGGCACATCAGCAAAAATAAGTATTAAACATAAAATAAACAATCGATAAGACAGAAATAGCGAAAAAAGTGAATACCTTTAACCTTGTTACAGAATGGACAAGCTTCATACTGATAAAGAACAATATCCTTAGGGCGTAATTCCGGCGGCACTGCTTCTTTAGCGTGGACTTCCTCGGTCAACGTGGTAGCCGCCACCGAGAAAAACACTGTTCCGGTGACAGCGTGAGCGGCGGTTCTAGTAGGTTGATACCAATTAGACCTGACAGAGGATTTGCTGCTACTCGTGCTGTACCGAGCCACAGTAGACGTCCTCTGCTGCGGAACCGACACGGCGGCAGCACCATCCGCGGCCCGGCATATGGCGGCGATTCCACTAATCCTCCTCATTCCGGCGATCTGAAATTCGGAAATCTATGGAAAATGTAAACTTAATTCTATGGGCCTTTGTGGCAACTTGTAGACAACTCGATTTTGGGTTTACTAGGGGTTTCAACCTTTGCCACGTGAGCGGGTAAAAATGGGTCCCAGAGCAGTCGTTTCGGGAAAAATATTGGCCCAACTAGCCCTTTTAGCATAATTGACTGTTTGCAACTGGCCAACTAAACTAGCCAAAATTTCACGGTATAGCCAGTTTTCGGACTGGTCAATCAAAAATAGCCAGCGTTTACCAAGTCAATAAAAAATAGCCACCGTTTTGCTGCAATAGAGACCGGTCCAGCATAATATACTGGAGTTTGGTGCACTTGTGTATGAACTCCAGCATATTATGCTGGACCGGTATACTTTGCTGGACCATTATACTTGCTGGAACTCCAGTATATTATGCTAGAGTTCTAGTGTATTTATGCTGGAACTCCATCATATTATGCTGGAGTTCCAGCATACTATCTTGGAACTCCAGTATAATATGCTGGAGTTCAAGTATGCTTATGCTGGAACACCAGTATAATATACTGGAGTATTTTCCGGGTTTTGAACAGTATTTTCACTCAGATTTATCTTTACATAAAAAGTGGCTAAATTTCGATTACTTTTAAATTGGGCTATTTTTGAATGACCAGTTGTAAATCTGGCTATTTTTAAAAATCACCCACTAAACTAGCTATAGGAATTTGGAAACTCGCTGGAAAAAAAGGAAAAGAATCGAAAGGAAAAGGGAAGAAAATTTTCCTTTTTGTTTGGTTTATTAGAAAAATATTTTTTTCCACATGAATTAATTTGTTTGTACACAAGAGCAAATGAGCATTGCTATATTTTATTCCTTGCATATACCAAATTACATGTATGAGCCGCGTTTTGCTGAAGCTCGAATAATTTCTTAAAAACTCGCTTTAAATATGAAACTTTTGAGTATTGAGAGATGCTCTTGTTATTCTCAATAGGAAAACTCGAAAACAGATAACAGATCTTTCTTCCAAAGCCTGTCCTTTTCGTTCTGCTCGCAATAATTTAGTATATTCTTCGAGTAAAAAAATATTAGACATATTTGCTTTGCTATATTTTATTCATTACACATACCAAGGAGATATACTTACAAGTTATTTGTTTGGATTTAAAATCGACTTAATGCTATTAAAAAATAGATATATCGAGAGCCAGACATTAGAACTAGTTAATATTTAAAATTTTACAACATATTAAATTCAAATCACTAGCCAAATTTTACTTAGTTCTAACTTCAAAATTTGTAAATATCATTTATTTTTAGGGACAAAATACATAAAATTATAACTAATTTAAAACTATTTCTAACTTGTTTTTCTAATTCTAATTGGTCTATACTTGCTTTCCAATACAAAATGGGCCTTAAGTGATGCCATCCGTCTATGCTAAGGAAAAGGATATTACCATAAAAAAGATAGGGTAATAAGGTAAAATAAAAACGCACTTTAAGTCGGCCACTCATCTGCCTATAAATACCCCCTTATGAGGTACCTTAGCCTATTATTCATCTCCGCCTCTCTCAATAATTTCGTCTGCGTCGGCTCTAGGGTTTCCAGAAGAACTTCGATTTTATTGCGATTCAATCAATTTTTTCTATTGTATCGCGCCAAATCGATCCAAGATCTAAACGCTACCCATCTATTTTTACGATTTGTTTTTGTGTTTTCGTGAAAGAGAGGAGGGGGAATTTCAGATCTGAAATCGAAATCCAAAAGGGGTTGTACTTCTGTGTGTATTGAGGATGTCTCGGTGCTTCCCATACCCACCACCTGGCTATTCGCTGAATACAGCAGCCAATAATGAAGCCTTGATCGAATCGATTAAGGTTTGTTGAAACAAAGAGCACTTGATTTATGTGTTTATGCTCTCGTCCCTGGCTGATTTTTTCGTCGTGTTGCTAGAAATAATCCAGCATATAAGGGCTTGTTTAAATCTGATTCTATACCATGTAAATCTCCTAGGAAATAATGTTGTTTCATTGGGTTGTGCATATCTATGAACTTCGATTTAGGGTTTAATCGTTGTAAATAATGTATATGTCCCAGTTTAATCTGGTTATAAGTGGATTAGTTTTAAGGATATGATTAATATTACGACATATATCATAGGAAATCAAGATAATTGGATGCCCGCTGATAGTGTATCTCCTGCCCGTGGATCAAGGATGGAGTTGGAAAAGTGTTGAGACACTTTAGGGTTTAGTGCATTGTTTGAGGGAGAAATTAGAGTAATCATGTAATAAGACCAGGTTATTGCAGGTTTGATATTTGATGGAGTGGTGAAATAGGAGATTTCCTGTGACTATAGGTTTATACTAATGAGGGCTGCAATCTGGTTTCAAAACTATTTTAAAGTGGGATTTTTTGATGGATTTTTCAGAAGATTCTTTGGGAAGATTTATGGATAAAACTACTTTTGAAGTACTCTTTTAAAATCATGTTTTTGGTGGAATGCGCACAAATTTTCACAACCAAATTAAAAAAACAACTATCCTAATTGTAAATTTCAAAAATATCCACTTGGGTCCAGCTCCCGTAGAAGTGTTATTAGGCCTCTTTCCTGCTTAGACTTCTATAGTTTCCATCAAATTAAGTTTAAGTGAGATTGTCATCTATGAAACAACTCATGAGCTACTTGGTTGTTGTTTTTAGGTATTCCCTGTAATTTTTCGTTACTTTGACATGATCACTTAATAAAGCATGAATACTGCACATTAGTCTACATTTAACTGTACATTTCAAATGATTGTTTACGCATCTTCAATCATAGGAGTGATAAATGACACCTGACAGAACAAAAGGGCATCCTTGTTTTGCGTTGAGTCCACAATGCTAAGTGCTTGTGTATATGGTGTTCAATGAACATGTTGTTATTCTTTAATTTTTCCATGCTTTGGTTCTTTCTAGCTGAGTGGGGGTTAGCCTAATCCCTCTTATCCCTTTGCCAGAGTGTTATGATTGGACTTATTTAGAACTTTTTAAGCAACTCAATGTAAGACCAGGGCCAGGTTGTGTGAAAAATTGAACTAGCTGACTGAGTGCTGCGTTACTGTATTCTGTCATATTGATGCAATTATATGTTGTGAACCCAACACATGTTTGGTACTACAAACATGTCTCTTTGATGTAATAAAAGATCAGTGAGATCTTAATTGTGCAATATCCTCGTGGTCATGCTGTTTTCATCTTCTCTCTCCCTCTATTCTGAACTTGTTATCCTCTGGTGCTCTAAAGCTCCAAAGGGAGAGGGAGATAGCTAAAGCAGAAAAGAAGAAGGAGAAGAAGAGGGAAAAGAAAGAAAAGAAAGAAAATAAAGAAAAGAGAAGAGAAGAGAAGAAGGCAAAGAAGGAGTCAAGTAATCCTGGATTTGACAAGGCCGCTCATGAGTCCAAAGGAATGTACTTGTTTAAATGTCTAGAAGACGAAGCTGAACAGTTGGAGAGGAGCAATCTCACTGAGGAACACGGACAGGCTGTGTGCTCACAGAATTCCAGCTGCTCATCTGACAGCACCCAGAATAGCAATAAAAGGAAGAGGCCTGCCTCACCTTCACATGGAAACATACAGGCACATGGTGAGTATATTTAATTTTATTACCATGCTTATTACTTTGGTATTCTGTTGTTTCTGTTGCTTATGTTTTTGTTTCTTTGTTTGACAATAGGTAGCATTATCCGCATCCGGTTGTCTAAAAAGGGTGGGCAAGGTGAGACATCAACTGCCAAGGAGAAGCAGTTGCAAAAACCAGCCCAAAAAGATGTAGAAGTTACAGTCAGGACAAGTGTAGAGAGAGCCAACCCTTTGCTGAAAGCAACAGGTTGTCCTCCCCCATCAGTAGTTTTAGAGCCAAGTCCATCCACGTCTGGGTGGAGAGACTGTGTTGCTGACAAGGCGGCAACTGCATCATGCTCCAACGCGCATGAGAACAGCATAGAATTTCAGTACAGGAATTTGATAGAGAACTGGCTTCCACCAAGTCTTCAAACTGAGCATCTTGACGTTGACGATGAAGCATGGCTGTTTCAAAGAAAACCTAAGCACGCGCGAGTTGGTCAAAAAAGTGCAGTCAGCAAAGCAGTCAGCAATGATTCAACATGTGGAGGCTCTGCATTATGGCCACGTGCGCAATACATTCATGATGCTGAGTTGTATGCATTGCCCTTCACAGTTCCCTTTTGAGTCATTTCTAACTGTGTATAGTTAGTTTTTAGCTCGATATACTGCCCAGGGAATTTTGTAGCTCTTCTCTGGGAAGCAGCTGTGGTTTAACCTGGAGTTTAGGCACACAGATTACAACTTTAATTCTTTTTACTTTCTCCAGCGAGTTGCATCACTTTCTTAGAGTTCTTTGTGCTGGTTGTCTCATTTTATGTACTCACTGGCTTTTACTACCAGTGCATTTGTAAATGAAGTAAAAAAAAAAGAGAAAATATGGACACATTTATCAAGGGTGAGGACGATTTTGTGCTTGCGATTGAACGCTGCTTGTTATATTGTGAACCTAGCGAATTGGAAAATAGTCTACGTGTTCGGTCAATACTACAATGGAATTTAACTATTTAATTTCTTCTGAGTTCCAATGAGTTGGATTCTTCTAAAAAATCTTTCTGTTTTATTTCGCGTCTTCTAATTCTGGCTCAATTCCGAAATTATGCATCGTTGTTTCTTGTATCATTTATTTCACCAAAGCGTAACTTCGAAACTACGGCGTGGTTGAACTAGCAAAATAGTCATCTATTCTGATTAAATTCTGCTGGGTAATTCTGGAACTTGAGATGGATAATTTACAAAGTAATTGGTGGCCTTCTTCTAACTGTAGTTCTAGTTTCCTTCTAAAAAATGTTTGAGCCATGAAATGTTTGGGGCAACAAAAAGAAAAATAACAGCATAAGGTTAGAACTGGTAAGGATCAAAATAATTTCTTCTTGGTAGGTTGCAGCAGAAAGAAAATTTGATACTGCTAGGATAGCTGCAGCGAATAGTGATGCTGTGATGGCTATTGGGAAAATTGTCATGTCCATAATAGCCAGTGAATAG